AAGATTCTTACTCGATTCTTATCTGATTCTTACGAAATTCGTGCAACTTTCGTGCCACTTCTTATATACGAATCTGATAAGAATCGGATAAGATTCTTATCAGAAATTTCAAAAAAAGTTTGTCTAGGGCTATTCTTAGAACTCCTGGATTAACAAAAATAGAAATGGCAACCTTAATGGAATGCAAGATTTGCCTAAAGTACTGAAGATTAGACATTTAAAAAATAAGATAGGGGTATAGTAATATAATCGAGAAAATGGTATGTCATATTCGAATGTCAGACGACAAATTTATTTTCCTGATCAAACTATTAGTAAAGCATGGTCGACAAAAAATATCGATGTATCGAAGTCTTTGACAATCATATTAAAACGTGTAAGAAATGATTTACCCAACGATTAACCCGAGAAATTTATAGTCCGTGCTGGTCAAGGAAGTTACCAGTATATAATACCATTAAATTTAGAAACACACAGCTCCTATGATTATTATTTTAAGATCGACCTCGATTGGAAGCCATTAGGCTCAACGGAGAGCAATCATTTTAGTATACCAACAAAACCCACCATAATTCCCGGTTCAGAACCGTCCGTAGACGATATTTATTATCCAGGTGACCAAATTACATTTAATAGTATTTTAAATAAATGATGTCACCATAGTGAGTGGGAAGAAGAGAAAGGAATGACCAAACATAACATACGATGACGGTAAGACACGCGACAGAGTGGCTCCCTTTAGAACACTTTTTTACCACTGTCTCCGAAATTTAGAATGATGGATGAACGAATTGCTAGAGAGTCAGAAAAACAACGAATGATTACGGGATGGGGAGAAATTTCACCATAAACCGATAATTGTGTCATTTGCGGACAATGGCTATTGGACTAGTGCCGCCTTTGATCCATCGCAAAGAGTCAGTGTTAGCTTTAAACGTAAGCGAGTTGGACCTGATGAAACGACAGACTCATTCACAGCTTAAGCAACGAGTAACGCTTACGACTATATAATTTCACAGAATTTAGACATTTCATCTAACGACCAATATTATTATTTCCAATTTGATTATTGTTCAAGTTTGACAGCCTCTATTATCAATAGAGATGAACGTAAGCCTACAACAAATAGGTTTTATATTCCAACAAAGCCCTACATTCAACCAGTCCTACCGTCATTTGGTGATTATTTTTATCCCAGTCAACAAATTACAATATCATGGTTTTCCGCAAATTTTAATGATAATCCACCTCTTAAAATACAACTTAAAAGATATAGTTTCTTGTATGATTCAGAGGAGAGTGCTGAATTTACATGTGAAACAAAATCAAATAGTTGCCAGTTCGTACTTCCATCAGTTAGTCCATCAATGGATGAATATTATTTCGAATTTGACTGGTGTACTCATTGGTATAGCAGACAGTGTACAACGAAAGGTAATCGTTTTTCTATGCCGAGCCATGGTATAGACACATTGAATTATAATTCAGTAACAGGTAAAGCAACCACACAGTATTCTTGAAGAACGTACGGTGAAAATGCTTTAAAAATTTTATTCAAACAATGTGATTTTTGATTCTCCTGAAAAACAGAGAACGAAAATGCACGATTCTTATCATACGTCCTTAAGAATACTGTATCGAATCAAAAGTGTTATTACATAGAGATTGTTCTAACATATGTTCAGACAAAACATCATTAGACGGAATATGTCGACTAATATGACTAATATATGTAGACAATCGTCCATGTATTGGCATCAATTTAACTTGTAATAACTGTTATATAATTTACGATTATACTCTTGTACAAACTGTGCTATTCTTTAGTGATGTCTGAAAAATGAGTTTTACCTGATCCCTATCTTTCATGTGGTTCAAAAGCTTGAAAAATTATTTGCTGTAAGACATCCGTATGAAAGTTTTAATCAAATGGTTGTCTCGTTTTATATAGAAATATCAAAAATGAGAGGAACCGAGTCAGATGATTTCCATTTCTATACTCTCTGTCATAGCTTTGGGGTAAAAGGTAACAGAAAAGACTGTAAGTATCCAATAGTTTACTGTCGATATCTGAAAGACATCAACGGTCCAAGACTACTGTGCTTTTTCCTAATTTTCCGCTATTTTATCATCGTAATACGTAAAATTCCCTTTTAATTTTTAACAAAAAGCAAAACCGAAAGAACAGTTGAAAGTTCAAATGATGCCGTACAAACAATTCCTAATGAAAATCGTTTAGGGATGTCATAATCCTATTAAGTTGTGAATGGAAGATCATCCCATCGTACTGGAAAGACTATATATCATAGATAACTATCACCCGTTACTGGAAAAAGAATGAAAAAAATGGATTACCAGATTACACCTGAAGATCTTTATTAATTTGGGGAATGAGAGCAATGAGAAATCAAGATGAAAGAAAATGTATTTTTTTCATTTCGCAGGTTAACAGAAATATCTTCAATGCATAAGGTATTACATCTTCTTGCTTTCTTCACTCTTCGAGATGATATGTAAACGTATGCAAGATAAGTATTACGTAAACAGAGGACTAATTTGTTAAATAATGCAACTTTCTTCTAATCTAGTCAATTTTTTTGAAATTCGATAAAAATTAATCCATCATACCGTAGACAAACATCTCTTTGTGATGTTCAACTCCACTAATTGCTCTAGGTTTGGACAAATGTATTGGTTAACTTTCTCCTTAACAAAATTATTTTACATCAATGAAATGCGTGTGCTTTTTAAAATCTGTATGGGGATGATCAGAACAAATCATCGGTATTCAACATATATACAACCTCATTCGAAATATTCGTTAAGATCTATCTAATTCGTCTAATTATCTATATGATTATTGTGAAAAATTCTTTTTTAACTCATCTTTCTTGCAGCAGTTATTACCGGATAGAATGTTTCCACTACTTAATATCCGCTCATGCATACCTTCACATTGTAAACCTCTAAAAACTTAGAGATGGTTTGAAGACACTGTTTACTTTTTCTTCTGTTTTAGAATTATGCACCTCGATCGACCACTCTTTTTAATATTTTCTTATTTTATTCTTGGAAGGTACTCCTTGTATCAAGAGATCTCAGCGAATTTTTAAAACAGTAGTGAATGAAAACCAAAATTTCGGTCGCCTGCGTTGTCGGTTGGAAATTTGATCGCAGCGGCTGAAGTCTACTTGTATCTTTTACTTTTATCATTTGTTTTTCTCGTTATTTGAAACTTTCATGCGAAAGCGCGTGTCTACTTGTAATTGTCAAAATGAACACTCTCTCAACTCTTATCTTGCTCTTTTCTTATTTCTTTGTTTTACTATGATTGTCTCTTTAAAAATTTATTTTTTCTTATGTTATTATTTTCTTTTATGGTTTCTCTAGACGTCTCAAAGAGAATGTAGTGTGGATCCAAGATCTCTGGCTTTTCCATGTAGCCTTTTTCTTCCTATCTTGAAATAAAAAGCTTGTATCAGCCGATATTTCTGTTTGGCCCATGCTATGGTTATTTATCATTGTGTTCATGGACGTTCTATATGAATGTCACTATGGATTTGATTCGCAAAGATGGATCATTATCATTTGGTCATTTAGTAACACAAGTTCATACGAAATCAACAATCAATTTGGATCTGTCATTAAGCGCCAGTTATACATTAAAAACTAGTGAGATTTTTCCAATCGGGCCGCGTCTGACATTAATTGGCTACTCATTTAGTATTGCTTCAGTTGCGTTTGGGATTGATGTTGGTTTTGAAATAGAAATACCGTGGTCTGTTCAATTGGATGCTATCGGATCTTTAACAGCTGGCATCCAGTATAAATTGGATATAAATATAACATTATCTGTAGATGATCAAAATAAACAAGCAAAAGATGTTCAATATAATCTAGAGAAAATATATCATCCTGTTAGGGCTGATTTTCAAGCAGATTTGATTATTGATGTTCCACTTAAGTCATCATTATCAGTACAAGCACTCGTGTTTAATATTGGTATAACAACTGGAGGGTATTTAACATTTGAAAATCAATTTCGTTTCCCACCATTTTCTCCAATTCCATCAAATGAGTTTAATTGGAATATAGAACACCCGTCTCTGTTTCATTTATCCTACCCTAATGATGCATGTGTATCTAAGCATTTCATTGAATACCATATTAAATTTGGCATACGTCATACTGTACTCTATCTACGTATAGATATCCTTGATCAAATACCAGCATTTATCAAAAACTTTGTTTCATATTTTGAAACACCAAGTTTTCTTGACTTAGGTCCATGCGAATTAGTTGGTGGTTGTCTATTTGAAGCACCTCAAAATGATTTTTTCCAATCATTAGAATTATTTACGAATAATGTATTTTCATCTGATCTGCAATCGTCGATATATTTTTCTAAATCAATTATTTATGATCTGTCACAATCATTACAGGTATCAGAATCAAGAATTTATTTTAACGCTTCGTATCCCTATTACGATCAGTCTACAAATACAGAATTAACTGTTGTGTCTATATCAATATTACCATCTCCTACACAAGACATAACAGATCCAGACGTAAGTCGTCTAGTGCAAAATCTGATCACGCAAGAAATGAATCAAAACTCAACATTGTATTCAGGTATTTTTACAAGTAGCTTAGTACAACAACAAACAATTCAAGCAAATATTGTCAATGGTTTAATGACATCATTTACATCCCAAGTTACAACTACCAACCAGAATTCTACACATGAACTCAGTTCATACCCATATACTTCGTCAACACCGTTGGTAATTCCAGTTTCTACTGCTAAGATATACATCTCCTTCCTTCACAAATAATTCAGTTTCAGATCTTTTTTCAAAAAGTTCATCTATAATTGTAACCTCTTCAGCTACCACAAGCGTATCATCAAATCCGTCATCTGTTTTTAAAACCAGTGCATATTCTTCTTCTGCTACAGCATCAACAAACAAATACAATAATTCATCTATCTCCAAATCTGCTTTTAATCAATCAACGCAAATTACAAAATTCACTTCTCAACAACCTCCGTTTGTAATCTCAGATACAGTATCGACACAACAGCAGCAAATTACAACGGCTATCTCGGGATATTCTTCGCAGTCTTCTGCTAGAGTTACTTCTTCGATAAAAGATTCTCCCCTTATTTCTAATGCAATTTTGCAACAACAAATGACTAATGCAGGCACATCAGTGGCAATTACCGCTTCGTCACCAAGCCAAAGAAATACTTCTATACAACAAAAACTTCTACTATCAACAGCCAGTATCTCTGCACAACATCAACCATACACAACAGTCTCATCCAAAGGTTCATCACAATCCTACGCATCAACATCAAAATCAACAAATACAACCTCGTCTTCAAATAGTTCTGACATTAGAGATGTATTATTATTTCAAAAGCAACCACTCACGACAAGTATGTTAGCATCGCTTTCTTCGCTGAACAAATTACCTTATACATCAAGCACCATAAATTCTTCGACAACATCATATTCATTGTCCAATACGAAAATCTCATCATTCTCAAACCAAGGAGAAATGACATTTACTCAAAAGTATTCTACGTCTCCTTCCTGGAGTTCAGTGTATTTAAATCAAATACACTTAACAACAATAATGCTAATACAACAACTAAACTAAAGTCAACACAAACCTATAAGCAAAATATTACTGTTGGGCAATCGACTGCCGTTGAACCTAAAAACTAAAATAATCACTCTCATAAAACATCAGCCTGATCGTCTGATGACAAAGATATAGTGCAGAATGTTTCGCTGATTTGTTTTCTAAATTTGCATTAAATTTTCAGTCAAAACTTCAGTCAAGAAAACTATACAAAGTATACGAAAGACGAGAAAAATGAAAATTTTATAAATTTAGTATTGCTTCGATTTCTGAGTATGAGTACAAGTACGAGTACTGAAGATCGAGTACGAGTATTTTCTAAATTGTACTCGAGTATTTTTTGGAATACTAGGTAAAAAGAGTTCCGAGTACGAGGATTTGTTTTGTTTTTCCATATCATAGCGACAAACAAGGGGAACAATAAAGAAAAAAGAAACCTCATGTTCTGACTAATATAACATCTTTTCTTTACGTTTCCATTCAACATAAAAAGAGAGTTGAGAGGAGTCGCAGTGTGTGCTCTGAATGTCATTAATTACACGCTTTTATCAGTTTTTTGACCGAAAAAGACATTCGAAACAAATAGAGATACTTTTCTTTTATCACCGTAACAACACAGAAAATATAGATCATATATATTGTGTGAATCTGTCACAGTAATCTAACATTCACTTTCAACCATAAATCCTGTTGGTGTCTTTTAAGAAAATACGAGCTGAATATGTTTTAAATTACTCCAGTTCCCAAGTAGCTATTTAACGCTGTTTTTCTTATATATCCAACTTGAATCGATCATTTAATTTTTACATTAACGGCAAGTGAAAAAAACATCATATTCATTCGATCTTCTCTCCAAATTTGAATCTTATCAGCTCCATGAACATAATGCATCCTATAGTAGGGTCCGATGGCTCTCCTCAGGATACAAGTCTATGGTTTTCTAAAATGTCCCGGTCAATGGCAACTCTTGGACTGACCTTCTAATATGGGTTATCTTCTGACTTGCACTGGACTGTCAGTGACCTTCCATTAGGATTTTTAAAAGAATTAATTTTTTATTTCATATGGTTTTACTTTGTACCGTGACTTTCCAGTCTTGATAATCTTACCAAAAAGAAAGAAGAAGATCCATTGGTTTATAAACTTTTATAGATTTAGTTGTATTTTTAATTATAAAATTTTATATTTTGTTTTCTTATTTTATTTTTTTACTTTTATACATATTACATATGTTAAAAAGATTATCAGGTACCTACTT